TTAAAATTTTATAAGTAATGCCCGCCGATTTTTACTATGATGCTTATATGATGCTTATACCCTTTAACGGCGAATCACCTCTTAATATTATTTATCTTTAAATTAAATTGAATACTATTATTAAGAGATTTTTTAGCTATATATCTATTTGCAGATAGTAATAATATATAACAGTAACAACAAACATATGAATATATATACTTGAAATATAAGAATATTTATATAAACAATGCTTTAAACCTTTTTTTTAACTTTTCTATAATAGAATTGATAAAATTTTTTTCTATTAGATTATATTATTTATATAAATTTAGTATAAAAACTAATTTGTTTAGTAGTATATAATTTTTACAAACTTTTTATAGACTAATAATTTTGATATTAAGATAGATAAAAATTTTATGTTTTATTTTTGATATTCTTTTTACTTCTTTCTTTTCTTGTTTATATATTTTATTATAACTCTACCTTTGTATTTTTTTTAATATATTTCTGTTGTTTACTTTTTTATTTTGCTTGTTAATAAGTATATAACCACTAGCTAATGATTGAAAAAAATCATTTGTAAGTTAAGAATCTAAAGAGAGGCCAAGTATTACTGAAGTAGATCATATCTGATATATCATATATAAGCTTTTATTTTAGTTAAATTCTTAGTTATAGATAAAAATTCTTTGTAATTTGTTAAATAACTAAATCTTAAATAAATAAGAATAGAATAGCTGAATTAAAGTAAAAATAATAATAATAATAATAATAAAAATAAATTATAAATAAAAATATTTAAAAATTTCAAAAATTGATAGTTTTATTTATTTAGTAACAAAGAATTGCTATTTAATAGAAAAATAATTAAAATTGTATACTTCAAATAAAATTTTAAAATCTATTACAAGTTTTTTTAAACTTTTAGAATTTATACTCCTATTACAAAAATTATAATAGTATAATCAACTTATATAACCACTTTACTAATAACAATTTTTTATAATTATAGTAATATTTCAAAAAATTTCTAATATCAATATTAATTACATAAATTAGATACTAAATTTTATGAAAAGACTCATATAATTGGCTATTTAAATTAACTTAATTTTATACTATTTATACAGTTTAAAGTACTTTTTTTATTAAAAAAAATAAAATTATAAAAAATAAAAAAATATATATATATAATTTTATTAAAGTTGTAAAACCTTACTATTAAAAATAATCAATTTTTTTTTTGTTTTAAAGAAATTAGCATAATAACAACTTCCGAAAAATAGATTATTATCATGCTAAATAAAAGAGGATTTTGATTATTTTTAGTTGTAAAATTCTACAATTCTAATAATTTTATTTTTATTTATTCATTTTAGAAAATACTTTAAACTATATAAAAAGTATAAACTTAAATTGATTTAAACAGCCAATCATATAAAAGTCTTACTATAATGCTGAATCACCAAGTTAATTAAATATGATACCTTTCTTCTGAAAGTTATAGAAGATAGCAAACATTAATCCTATTTGCATCAAATCATTGATTATTTCTTTTTATTATTCGCTTTAACTTCCTTGGTTGTTTAGATTTTGATCAGACATTTTTCACATAATGAAAGAAACCCAAAAATTACTACAAAGATTAAATTAGGTCATCTTTTTTTAGAACAAAAAATTATAAACTTGTCATAACCAGTCATTATAGCAAATTTTCCAATTAGTTGTTAATAACCGTATTTCTCATTCAATGATGTTCTACCATCACCTAAAATTGTATTTTTTCAGGAATATAGTTTAATAAATCATAGAATTGATAAAGATAAGAATTTTTTCTTGCCTGTTTGTCCCTGAGGCGGTTCCCAAATTGTTGCATCTTCAATTTCAAGTTCATTTAATTCTTGAGCCTTTTTTTGCTGTTCTTCATATTCATATGGTGTCATTGGCATCAACGCTTTAATTTTCTTCTCTTTTTCACTATTTGTAGTTGAATCTTCTTGAGAAATTTCTCTTTTTTTAGGGACTATCAATGACGTTACTTTATCTGATTTTTCGGGTTCCGGTATATCTGATTCTATTAAGGATGATCTTTCGATATGTTCTGTCGGTATTGTTTCCTATTTATATGGATAAACTTAGTTCAAATTAAATAATATTTTATCATTAAACAGGATGCATACCAAATTTTTTTTAATATCCGATAATTCTTGTTCACTATAAGTTTGTGATGATTAGTAATCGGAACTTTAACGTTAAGAAAGGGTCAACAATTGAAACTAACTTGATAGCATGTAAATTTGGTACAACGGATGAATTATTATCATACTGCATAATGTCAAGGGGTTTTGTAATTTCTATAAGTCTGGCAAGACGTTGTTCTTGCTTTAATGTAATGAAAAAAATAGAAATATTTTAATACAACAATAAAAGAGTAAATCCCATAAGAGAGAATAAAATTACCTTTAATAAATCTTGCAGTGTGTTCTCTAAATTAGCAGTAGATTCATCTTTAATTTCGTTTCTAATCACATCCATGTAATTATCCAAATCATCATCGGTAAGAGCTATGGTTGTTGATGTTCCTGCACAAAAAAAATTATTACTAAAGTATAAAATACAAAAAAGAATAAAGATTTGTTTGGCTATTTACAAAGTAGTTAATTGTATATCAAGAATAAATAAATATACCTGATTCAGCGACTTGATGTATCTTATTTCGTATTTCTTCAATACTAACCAAGAGTTCTTCTCGTTGTTTTATTAGAGATTCATATGTCTCAACTTTTTGTGCCGGCTGAGACTTTTTTGATTTTAATCTGTCTTCTTTTTATAGTGAAAAAAAAAAACGGAAATTTGATAAACTTATAAAAGAACCATAAATGATATTTTTATATAGTATAGTAAAATTTTTACTTTGACCGGTTCGATCATAAAAGCTATCCTCATCGTCACTCTCGACATCTAACAAATGCTGAAGTCTTTTTTTCCTTGCCGCTAAAAATATCACATAAAAAATTTTTTGGTTAAAAAAATTGGTGTTTTATATACATGAATCACTAATAACATTCTCCCTACCAGCTTCGTCTTGCCCTGCACGCAAAAGGCCTAACATATCCAATTTTTCACAAGCATCAATTGCTGCTTGTCTATCAGCATCTCTATAAAAATGACGAACAAATAGCTGTTAGCATAAAAGTCGGATAAATATTGTCTACTACTGCTTAAAAAGGTAGACGAACCGTTTCTTTGATCCGGTTCCTATACCATAAACGGGTCCATATGCATCTTCAACATCAGGTAATTGAATGCTAAGAAATAAAAGAATTAACAAAATTCCGATAATTCTTAGGAGAAAAAAAATTTGATTAAAATATAGATACCGAGAAGTAAAAATGCGCGCATGGCCTGGTCCCTCTTGTTCGCTTTCAAACTCCATGTCATAACCTCGATTCTTTTTGAAATTACAATCAGCGATTATTCAAAAGTACTTTTTCTAATGTTAATCAACACAAACCTCAAGCCAATTCCTTAATGCTTTTTTCGGATCTTTATAATAATAAGCATTTTCGTCACGTTTCCAAGATTCTTTTGCTACAGCTACCAAAAGCTCGTTTTCATCTTCGGCATCCTCTGAAAAACCCCTGAGCACATTGTAAATAATTATTAATATGTAATTGCTATTGGAACTTGTAAGAATTCATCTTTATGTACCAAGTAACGCCCGTAGTTTCAGGTGCTGGCTTCGATTGAGGCTTAGGCTTAATTGTTTGCTGCGTTTGTGGTTCTTCCGGACCCAGCAAAACATATGTTCGCGTACTTTCACCAAACTTTATCTGGTCACCAACACGAAGTCGGATATAATTCCGCGATGATATTTGTTGTTTGTTTACTCTGGTTCCATGCGCACTGTCTAAATCATATATAAAAATCTCGCCTTTTTTGAATATAATAAACGAAAATGCAATAATTACAATTACAATTGAAAATTAAAAAACATTATTATTATTATTGAAGAATCGGTTCACACCTTTATTATTAAATTGAATGACAGCATGATATCTAGAAATTGACTATAAAAAAGAACGCATTGTAAATTGTCAAGGATCGGATTGAAATACTAAATATTATATGTCTTATATGCTTTTCACAACTAAAGCTATTTGGATACAGGATGTTCCATTGATAAATCACACACCGGTAACCGTCCTGAATATTAGGAATTTCTACTGTTAGGGATATACAACATATAACGATAACTTATCCAAACTAATTTTCACACACCAAGAACCAAAAATTCTTTAGATGGAAGATCTATTATCTCCACACTAAGCCCACCCTTTATAACTTCAAAACCATAATCAATCTTCGATATATCACTCCAATCGGGTTTTTCATAAGGAACTGGAGGTACCGACTCTGGTGTTTTTGCTAATTAATGCAATAGCAAAACATGAAAGTAAAGAGCATTCATTATATCATACTGGAAAACATGAATAAATAAGCATCTATGTATTTACTGTTTACAGGTGCTGGAACTTTAAATTCAGTAGCAGAATCCGAGACTTTTTCCTGATCAGAGTTTTCCATTTCAGTTTGTGACCATGCTACTGGAACAAGGGCTATGAATTAATATTATCTCACCGCAGTATTTTTATCTGATTTTATTGGTTCGGTGGTTTTATCCTTTCACAATTTTCTATTTTTGTTTTAAAACTAATTAAACCCAATTAAACCAATGGATCGACGAGAATGTTGGTCCAACTTAGAATAATTTGTCCTACGATGATCTACTGTCGTTTACAAGCGAGCATTTGTGTTACATTCCTCAACCGAACCGTTGTGCCTCGTATTACTTATTATTACCCAGAATTGGGCCCACTTCTATAATTTTTCTGTGGCCTTTCCTTCTTTCTCCTCCTCTACCCAACACCCTTTTTCCATTCCTAACCCACGTTACTTAAGTGAGGGAAAAAAAATAAAAAAAATAAAAAAAAACTATTTTCTCTCCCTTTTGACATCATCCCGAAAAGTGACGATTTCCAACCCTTAATCCCTTCCTTGAAATTGAAAATAACAAAATGGCCGACATCGCAAGCAGAATAGCCGAAGCCCGGAAGGAAGCAGAAACTTTAAAAGAGAAGATTAAGATGAAAAAAGATGGATTAGCCGACACCTCTTGTAAGTTCCTGAGTTTGGGCTTGGTAGATATGTAATACTTGACGTGCGTTATCAGTTTATTAAAAATAATTTTGCTTTTTTTTCGATTTTTAATAAAACTGAGCGATGTCTGATTAAAAAAAAATCTAATTAGTCAAAACTATCTTAAAGTTAATTACTTTATATTAATTTAATGGTTCGAACATTCTGACTAAATATTAATTTACCATTCCTTTCTATGTTTATGACAAAATTATGGCGGTTTAACAGTGAGAGCAATGGCAGCTGAGATTGACCCTCTACCTAGAATTGTAATGAAAGTTCGTCGCGTCCTCAAAGGACATCTTGCCAAGATTTATGCAATGCATTGGGCATCAGATAAACGTCACCTTGTTTCTGCTTCACAAGATGGTAAACTTATCGTCTGGGACGCTCCTACAACAAATAAGGTTCATGCTATTCCCCTTAGATCTTCATGGGTTATGACTTGTGCCTACGCACCATCTGGCAACTTTGTTGCTTGTGGTGGTTTGGACAATATTTGCTCTATCTATAATCTTAAAACGAAAGAAGGTTCCGTTAAGGTTGCACGAGAATTGAATTCTCATACAGGTTACCTCTCATGCTGTAGGTTTCTTAATGATAGGCAAATTTTGACATCATCAGGTGACATGACTTGTATGCTTTGGGATATTGATGCTGGCATGAAAACTTTAGAGTTTAATGATCATACTGGTGACGTAATGAGGTACTTTATCATTTATTAATTTTTAAAATTATTTTTAGTATATGCAATTTACTGATTATTTTGCGATTTTCTGTTGTGTGTAGTCTGTCTCTTGCCCCAAACCAACAAATATTTGTTTCTGGCGCCTGTGACGCTAGCGCAAAAGTCTGGGATATCAGAACTGGTCGTTGTGTACAAACATTCACAGGTCACGAATCAGATATCAATGCTGTTCAGTAAGTTAAAATATGCACTATATTTATATAAAGTTACCAAATTTGTTCTTTTCTTACTCCTTTCCTATATTTAGATTCTTCCCAAATGGTGATGCATTTGGAACCGGTTCTGATGATGCATCTTGTAGATTGTTTGATCTTCGTGCTGATAGGGAACTTAATCAATATACACATGATAATATCCTCTGTGGTATTACCTCCGTTGCATTTTCTATCTCTGGCCGTCTCCTTTTTGCAGGTTACGATGATTTCAACTGTAATGTTTGGGATACATTGAAGGGTGAACGTGTTGGTGTTTTAGCATCACACGAGAATCGTGTTAGTTGCTTAGGAGTATCAAGCGATGGTATGGCTTTGTGCACGGGCAGTTGGGATTCATTATTAAAGGTGATTATGTTTATATGACATGTTTCTTTCAATCTTTTTATTATATATTCGATTGTTTACATTTATTCTCCTTTTGTTTCATTTACAGGTTTGGGCTTGATGATATTACAAACGTCACTACTTAATTTGAAGTTCGGCCCTGAGTATTAATCGAGCTTTGACTGCATTTAACATTTATTTAATTTGAAAAAATTATCCCAACCAATTTTGCCATATTTACATCTTTTGGCCAATCTTTTTTATAATTCATGGCTTCTCTATTTATGCCTTTTTGTTTATTTCACATTTTTAGTATGTACATACTAATTTTTGTAACATCTATTAGTGCAAAGTATTTTAAAAGATTCAAAAAAGGGTTGATAGCATACTGTATCAAGCTAAACTTGTCATTATTTTTATTTGTTTATAATTACAAGGGATCCTCCTATTTAGTAAAATTCCATTACAATTTTTTACAGATTTGTTTTCCTGTTTGGATCGCAATAGTGAGAATCTTCGTGTGAAGTTTCTATTATTATTCGATCCTATAACTTCTAATATAAATAAGTCTTTTAATTATACAAACAAACTTTGTTATTATCCTTTTATTAGAATTTTTTTTTTATTTATTATTTTTAACTCATTTTAATGAAAAATGGAACAAAATGTTGTTTACAAATATTGAAAGACGATTATGTTGTATACAATATTCAATAATATATAATTATATTTATAGCTTATTTTTGTATAGGGAATAAAATTATATGTAATATATTATATCGTTACTATTAAATTGAAATTTGTAAAAATAGTTGTACAAAATTAGAATTTTCTTCCGTAATCTCTTTTTATATAGTTCAACAATATTGAAGTGTTGTGTTGCACATTAGGTTTTCTTTATTTGTATTGTATATCGACATGAAACGTTTTAAATTATGAATTTACTAAGTTATCAGTTATGTTTAACGTTATAGTTACTATATATATTCAAAAACTATGTAATGCTTTATTAGGTATTAAAAAAAAAAAAAAAAAAAAAAAACCTGGAGACTCAAACTATAATTCTAATTTCAAATATATACGTGCGTATATATTGATATATATAGTATTGATGCCGACACCCTGGTGTGATTAGCACAAGCCTTTTTTACAATATAGGTGAACAGGATACGTACGTACGTACGTATATCTGTAGAGCGCTGCATTCAGTACCCGTGTGACAGATAATACATTAAAATAGTATTTACAAATACATGAAACTTTTTCTTATGCATCACCCCGGGTACTGAATGCAGCGCTCTACGGCGACATTGTCGTGCAGACGTGGACATAAGAACTGGTGTAACAGATGGCAGAGTACTGTTCCGACCAAACTTCGGCCTAGCATATATGATGCTAATTTTTATTCTAATGCTAAATCTTATATATTATAATAAATATATAGATATAAATACGTACGTACGTGCGTATATAGTATACTGTATCTAGTATAAATATAGTTATTATATAACGATAAGTGATTTTCATTATCGGCAATTTCATAGGTATATATTGATTATAAACAGGGTGAAACCTCATAGGAGGACATTCATATGATTGGTTAATTTTTGTAGATCTACCCGTGAATTCCCGTGATAATTAGCCAATCAAA